GCGTTCATTTGGGGGGGGGGGGCGTGCATGGTAAAGGTTTAACGCTTATATAACGCAAACTTATCTCTTGAAACAGCGTTCATGAAAAGATGATAATCTCCCACGATCGCATTTCATATGCAGTAACGTGGACCCCATAGGGATAGGCAAAAGTTTAGATTGTGAGCTTTTTGCACAAAAACCTCACACTGCTGTTTTTGGACACAAATGGAGAGTTTTGGTTTACAAGGAAATTTACTGACAATTACTTACGAGTGTTTATAAAATATAAAATTCTGTTTTATTTATTTAAGGGTGACACTCACTGCGCTTTCCTTTGAGATGCCTAAAGACAAGCACACACTGCGTCTGTTCCATGTGCAATGCGTTAGGTGAGATTTGCTGCGTACTTTAATCTGCTGTTTGTGTGCAGGTTTATAGAATGTTTGTTTTGGTGTATGTACAGAAAGTGCTCGTTGCCCCCTGCGTGCTAATATTTTTATAACAGAGATAATCTGAGCGGTGAATTTGATGATGGGGACACCTGGTCGCCCTATAAATCAAGATTAGACCAAAACATTCAAAGCAGAGAAATCACATTTATATACCGTAATAGTGATGATAATACATTTATTTTTCTAACTTAAATCGGGTAAAGAAAGCTAGACCTGTTTAGTACTTTGTACCCACTAGAGGGCAGTGCTGTGAAGTGGGTAATGCGGGTTACTGGCAGAGGAAGGGTTAGTCATGTTTTTTTTACTTGCTATGGGTCTGGGATTAGAATATAGTGCAGCGTCTTGGTTTAATCATTAAATGGTGAAATGCTGGGATTCGACCGGGAATTATAAATTATAAATTACTTACGTTGTTTTTCTTTTTAGGTGAGTGCCCTAAAATATCCGATCCCTGTACACAGCTGACAACTGACTGTTCAGCAAATAATCCTATGTGAGATGTATTTACTAAACAGTAAAATGTCATGAACTGAAATCAAATTACACTATTTAGGCAAAAAAGTGCCAATTTGGAAAGATTCACCAGTTCTGCTGTAGTCACAGCTCGTGACGTTATCCTAAATTTCACAATTCCATCTTTAATTATTATTTTTATTATTATTATTTTATTATTTATATAGCGCCAACAAATTCCGTAGCGCTTAATTCAGTGTTAAACAAATTACCCCTCAGTATGTGTGTCTGTGGGTGCACAATCAGCTTTTAGGGTATCCCAAATTTTCTTAACAAAAATAAAACAAGAATTATTACCCAGAATCCTCTGCCTGCTAAAGTGGTGGGCGCCTCAGATACTCAAAAAATGGCACGCGGACGTCTGAGCTGGCTCAAGTAAAGTCACAGAACAGGTGTTTCCTTTCTAGCTGTGTCTATTTGAGGCTACATTTCGTAATTTCGTTGGAACTTTACCATGAGTAATCGTCTCTGTTTCTCGGTCTTATTGTGATTTCGAGAAAAAAAACTTTTTCAGATTTCACTGAATGTGAACTTTACAGAAAGTTCTGCCTTCCTCTGGCTCCTGTAAATACTATTATCATTTTAATTTACAGCATATGAGAATGTCAAGGCACTGCCTGGCACGCAATGCAAATTACATCATTACAGTAAAATGGTGGTGTCAGTGCCTGTGTGTAACTCAGAAACAAATTGCACACCTACCATTCCCCCAGTGCTTGCAAAATAAAACAAATGATGTTACTATAGTTTATACTCCGTACAACTCATCTTGACTACCATCCCTATAAATCTCTGCCAACCAGTACCTCAGATCTAAGTGGCTGGCAGGCTAAGGATTATGGGTCCGACAGATTTAGAGTAATGTGTGTGTTTTGCTGACTATACCCGGATTGCATAAAGCCACCTAACCCTTTTACTGCCAGGCGTTTACAAAACGTATCCAAACATCTTTCTGTATTTTGCGGTAGTGTAGTGGCCAATTTATTTAACCCCACGTATGCTGGGAAGGCCTACACCTTGGAGAAGTTAATTCACTGGTCCGTGTTGTACGGTCTGGTCACCATTCTGTCATGCTGCCGGCGCAGTTCGCGAACCTTCGTGTTTTCTTTCTAGATAGTCTGCTGTTTCAGGCTGCCATTGTAGGGGTCTTTGGTGAAGAAAACCCCGTCTCTCTGTGCCAAAAACGTGAATATTTAGGGACTATTTATGTGGCTTGCAGAGTCCAGGCCGTTTGATAGATAATATTTAGGATTTGGTATTTCATATTTTTTTTCAGGTGAAAAATCAAAGTTTTATGCAATATTTTCTGTGTTCTGATATTAAAAATGTGCATTTTAGAAACGTCTCTTGTGAGGGCGGCTTCTATGTAAAGGGAATTTTATGCTGAATTAATTCTGCGACTTTACTGATGTTTGTTATAAAAATATATTATTTATGCTGTCACTGGAAAACTTATTTCTTGCAATTGCTGAAAAATGTATTCTCATAAAAATAAAAGATTTTAATAGATATTGGTTCAGTGAAATTAATGCCAAATAAAATATTTACTGTTTGTTATATTAACTTCCCTAAATTATGTGATCTCAAACTCCTAGGAGTCTTTTGAGGGGACTAGTTTGCGGATCACAGAGCTCCACAGCAAAAAAACTCACAGTAACGTGCAGTGTGTATGGGTGTATCACAGAGCTCCACATTGATAAAACTCACAGTAATGTGCAGTGTGTATGGGTGTATCACAGAGCTCCACATTGCTAAAACTCATAGTAATGTGCAGTGTGTATGAGTGTATCACAGAGCTCCACAGTAATAAAACTCACAGTAATGTGCAGTGTGTATGAGGGTATCACAGAGCTCCACAGCAATAAAACTCCCAGTAATGTGCAGTGTGTATGAGTGTATCACAGAGCTCCACAGCAAAAAAACTCACAGTAACGTGCAGTGTGTATGGGTGTATCACAGAGCTCCACATTGATAAAACTCACAGTAATGTGCAGTGTGTATGGGTGTATCACAGAGCTCGACATTGATAAAACTCACAGTAATGTGCAGTGCGTATGGGTGTATCACAGAGCTCCACATTGATAAAACTCATAGTAATGTGCAGTGTGTATGAGTGTATCACAGAGCTCCACAGTAATAAAACTCACAGTAATGTGCAGTGTGTATGAGGGTATCACAGAGCTCCACAGCAATAAAACTCCCAGTAATGTGCAGTGTGTATGAGTGTATCACAGAGCTCCACAGTAATAAAACTCACAGTAATGTGCAGTGTGTATGAGGGTATCACAGAGCTCCACAGCAATAAAACTCACAGGAATGTGCAGTGTGTATGAGCGTATCACAGAGCTCCACGGTAATAAAACTCACAGTAATGTGCAGTGTGTATGGGTGTATCACAGAGCTCCACATTGATAAAACTCACAGTAATGTGCAGTGCGTATGGGTGTATCACAGAGCTCCACATTGATAAAACTCATAGTAATGTGCAGTGTGTATGAGTGTATCACAGAGCTCCACAGTAATAAAACTCACAGTAATGTGCAGTGTGTATAAGTGTATCACAGAGCTCCACAGTAATAAAACTCACAGTAATGTGCAGTGTGTATGAGGGTATCACAGAGCTCCACAGCAATAAAACTCACAGGAATGTGCAGTGTGTATGAGCGTATCACAGAGCTCCACAGTAATAAAACTCACAGTAATGTGCAGTGCATATGGGTGTATCACAGAGCTCCACATTGATAAAACTCACAGTAATGTGCAGTGCGTATGGGTGTATCACAGAGCTCCACGGTAATAAAACTCACAGTAATGTGCAGTGTGTATGGGTGTATCACAGAGCTCCACATTGATAAAACTCACAGTAATGTGCAGTGCGTATGGGTGTATCACAGAGCTCCACATTGATAAAACTCATAGTAATGTGCAGTGTGTATGAGTGTATCACAGAGCTCCACATTGATAAAACTCATAGTAATGTGCAGTGCGTATGGGTGTATCACAGAGCTCCACGGTAATAAAACACAGTAATGTGCAGTGTGTATGGGTGTATCACAGAGCTCCACATAATAAAACTCACAGTAATGTGCAGTGTGTATGAGGGTATCACAGAGCTCCACAGTAATGTGCAGTGCGTATGGGTGTATATGGGTGTATCACAGAGCTCCACATTGATAAAACTCACAGTAATGTGCAGTGCGTATGGGTGTATCACAGAGCTCCACATTGATAAAACTCATAGTAATGTGCAGTGTGTATGGTGTATCACAGAGCTCCACATTGATAAAACTCACAGTAATGTGCAGTGTGTATGGGGTATCACAGAGCTCCACAGATAAAACTCACAGGAATGTGCAGTGTGTATGAGCGTATCACAGAGCTCCACAGTAATAAAACTCACAGTAATGTGCAGTGTGTATGGATGTATCACAGAGCTCCATATTGATAAAACTCACAGTTATATGCTGTGTGAGTGTATCACAGAGCTCCACAGCACTAACACTCTCAGTAATGTGTATAAGTGTATCACAGAGCTCCACAGCAATAAAATTCACAGTAATGTGCAGTGTGTATGAGTGTATCACAGAGCTCCACAGTAATAAAACTCACAGTAATGTGCAGTGTGTATGGGTGTATCACAGAGCTCCACAGTGATAAAACCCACAGTAATATGCTGTGTGAGTGTATCACAGAGCTCCACAGAATTAAAACTCTCAGTAATGTGTATAATGTATCACAGAGCTCCACAGTAATAAAACTCACAGCAATGTGCAGTGTGTATGAGGGTATCACAGAGCTCCACAGTAATAAAACTCACAGCAATGTGCAGTGTGTATGAGCATATCACAGAGCTCCACAGTAATAAAACTCACAGCAATGTGCAGTGTGTATGAGGGTATCACAGAGCTCCACAGTAATAAAACTCACAGTAATGTGCAGTGTGTATGAGCGTATCACAGAGCTCCACAGTAATAAAACTCACAGTAATGTGCAGTGTGTATGAGTGTATCACAGAGCTCCACAGTAATAAAATGAATTAGTGTAAAACAGAGGTTATAATAATGTATTTATTTGTCTCCAGAAGCGATGAATGTGAAGTTGCCACAACATGAGACTCTCTCTATCAGTGGGTCCCATACGACGCCAGTTTATAATGACGACAATATGTCAGTTTATAGATCAACCTAAATGTCTGGTTTATGAGTTCCACGTTTTGTGACATCATCCCATCCTTTTACATACACAATTACACAACAACATTTCTTTATTCCCTTCAATATACATCCCCCTTGCCCCCTACAAACTCACTGTCTCAGCACATTGGTCCTTTAACCAAATCTGATCTCAAGAATTCAGATCACTTCATTAAAACGTGTGATGTTACATGTCAGTGGAGAGTATTTCTTTATTTGTGTGTATGTGGTTTGTTTCATGCTAATGGATTGGAGGTGATGTGTATTTTTCGTGTGAATTTTTTATGTTAATGTAGGTGATGTGTTTGTTACATGTTAGTGTAGGTGGTATGTGTTTATGATACATGTTAGTGCAGATGGTGAATGATTTTGTGACATGTTACATGTTAGTGGAGATGGTGAATGTTTTTGTGACATGTTATATGTTAGTGGATATGGTGAATGTTTTTGTGACATGTTACATGTTAGTGGAGATGGTGAATGTTTTTGTGACATGTTAGTGGAGATGGTGAATGTTTTTGTGACATAATACATGTTAGTGGAGATGGTGAATGTTTTGCGTAACATGATACATGTTAGTGGAGATGGTGAATGTTTTTGTGACATGTTACATGTTAGTGGAGATGGTGAATGTTTTTGTGACATGTTACATGTTAGTGGAGATGGTGAATGTTTTTGTAACATGTTACATGTTAGTGGAGATGGTGAATGTTTTTGTAACATGTTACATGTTAGTGGAGTTGGTGTGTGTTTTGCGTGACATGATACATGTTAGTGGAGATGGTGAATGTTTTTGTGACATGTTACATGTTAGTGGAGTTGGTGTGTGTTTTGCGTGACATGATACATGTTAGTGGAGATGGTGAATGTTTTTGTGACATGTTACATGTTAGTGGAGTTGGTGTGTGTTTTGCGTAACATAATACATGTTAGCAGAGATGATGTCTGGAGTTAAGACATGTTACATGTTGCTAGAGAGGATAGGTGTGCTTATTGTTACATGTTAGTGGAGAGTATTTGTTATTCTGCCATACTAACATTTTATACATTTGTGTTTTTATAATATGCTTTTAGTGACAAGTATGTTTTTATTTCTTACATTTTAGTGGAGTTGATGTGTGTTCTTATTACAAGTTAGTGGAGTTTATGTATATTTTTATGACATGTTACATGTTAGTAGAGGTGGTGTGTGTTTCTATGACATGTTAGTAGAGGTGGTGTGTGTTTCTATGACATGTTAGTAGAGATGGTGTCTTCCTTTAAGACATGTTACGTGTCAGTAAAGATGGTGTGTACTTTTATGACATGTTATGTGTCAGTAGAGATGGTGTGTTCCTTTATGACATGTTACGTGTCAGTAGATATGGTGTGTATTTTTATGATGTGTTACGTGTCAGTAGAGATGGTGTGTGTGTTTATGACATGTTACGTGTCAGTAGAGATGGTGTGTGTGTTTATGACATGTTACGTGTCAGTAGAGATGGTGTGTACTTTTATGACATGTTATGTGTCAGTAGAGATGGTGTGTACTTTTATGACGTGTTACGTGTCAGTAGAGATGGTGTGTACTTTTATGACATGTTATGTGTCAGTAGAGATGGTGTTTTCCTTTATGACATGTTACTTGTCAGTAGAGATGGTGTGTGTGTTTATGACATGTTACGTGTCAGTAGAGATGGTGTGTACTTTTATGACGTTATGTGTCAGTAGAGATGGTGTGTGACGTTATGTGTCAGTAGAGATGGTGTGTGTGTTTATGACATGATGCATGTTAGTAGAGATTGTTTCTTTCTGTAACATGTTATTAGAAACAATGTGTGTTACATGTTAGAGAAGATACTGCTTGTTTCTGCCACAAATTATATGTTAGAGGATATGCTGTAGGCTTTTATGACGTTAGTGGCAATGATGTGTGTTTCTGTAACATGTTACAGCCATGTTAATTGTACAGTTTTGTTTGCTGAAAGTTATGTGTGTCTGTGTGCGTGGGACATGTTTCATGTTAGTGCAGTTTGGTCATAGAGATGACATGTTTGTGTAAACTGATGGTCACCTGACTGTTTTGGCATTTACCACAAACTAATCACCATCCAGTTCCATGCAGGCCCTGCACAGAATCTCTCTCTCAGTTCCGAGCAGTGTTCCCAGATAATCATCTAAAGTTTTTAAAAAAACACACAGGAAGAGTTTGTGTTTTCTGAGGCTGGTATTGAAGTCAAAGAAAAGTCTCTTTAACCTTTCTAATATCAGTTGAATGACAGGTGTCTGACTACGTGCGCGGTCCCAGCACCTCAACACCCTCTGCGACTGACAGATTGTGCTAAAATCACCTCCTTTTTGCTGTTTTTACAACCAATTCTAAGACATCCACAGAGTGCCTACACATGGAGGTTTATTACGTTGCTACGGTCGAGTGCTCAGTTCCGTTGAGGTTCACGGCTGCCACATGTATGTCTTTGAGGTGTCAATCTGTCCCGCTGGGGGCAATGTCTTCACTTCCAATGGGGGTGGCAAAGTTGGCTGTTCCAAGCTACTCTCTTTATCCTTCTCACTTTCTGCTTCCCACAGGCTGATGAGTGGAGGATAGAACTCATTGAGCGGAATGAAAGAGGCTCTCTGCATGTACTTCTTCAAGGAGTGTCCACAGCTTTTGTGTCTGAGGTGATAACCGGCGTAAATAATAATGGCAGCCATGCATAAACCAGCAATAAGGGCAGCAGAGAGGGCGATACTTACTGGCCTACCAGCCACTGCTACAGTGAATGAAGGTTCCTTAGTTGTAACGTTGAGGCACGACTGTTCACTTGGTCTGGATAGAGAAGACACTGTGAGGCACACCTCATACTTTGTGGCCGGTTGAAGGTGTGTTAGGTTATATTCTTGTATCTCCAGAGGAACCTTGGCTGTGTAACTGATGTGAGGGTTATGTATTCTCATAGTCGCTGAAGACCACTGGACAGGGGCTAAAACTCTTGGTGCAGATCCCGACCCACCCAAAATTTTCCACTCCACAACCACAAAGCTTGAATGCACTTGTTTGGTAACCATTGCAAGTGATCCCATCTTTTTCTCTTGAGTGCCATTGATGTAGATAACCACACTTTTACTGTCCGTTCCATCAGAGTTCCATATTTGGCACATGTAGGACCCAGAGTCTTCTTCTAGAGCATCCATGATTTGTAGCGAACCCTCCGGATGCATTCTGACTCTTCCAGTTGTCCCTGATAGTCTTTCTCCATGAGGGGTTACCCAGTAGATCTCAGGTTTTGGGTTGCCACTGGCATGGCAAGTGAGAGTCACCTGTTGGTGTTTGGAAAGATGAAGCTCATGAGGAAAAGAGTGTGTGTCTATTAAAGGTGGACATCTGCTCAACCATGCTTGGCCCTGGATTTCTTGGAAAAGATGTCCACTTACCAGTGGTGGACTAGTGCATAGTGTGGCCTGGGACTCAATCAGTCTTAGGGAGGAAAGACCCTTCCAGTTGTTTTGGCAGTCACAGCGAAGAGGGTTGCTGTATAAGCTGACCTCGGTTAGCCCTGGCAGTGACTTGAACACTTTTTGGGGCACTATGGGTAGTCTGTTATTATTGAGAAGTAAAGTTTTCAATGAACCCACATTAGAAACAAATGCATCAGGATCCAAGTAGGTTAATCTGGGGTTGTTGTAAATCTCCAGTTTAATCAGCTCGGGCAGGTTCTGAAAGGCACCAGACTCAACACGTTCTAATTCTTCCATTGAATTAAGGCTGAGTTCTTCAAGGTGAAGAATGTCTTTAAAATCACCATTCTTTATTTTATGAATTGGGTTTTTGTTAAGGTCCAAGAACTTCAATACGTTCAGTTTTTTTAGTGCTTCCTTGGGAACTTCCGTCAGTCGATTATCAAAAAATGAGAGGCTCTCTAGATAGTCTAATCCAAAAAAGGCATTTTCTGGAATATATTCCAACTCCATCCCAGCCAAAACAAGACTGTGTAAACTACCTAACGGTTGAAAGTTCAAGTTCTGAAGACTACTTACAGGGTTCTCTCCAATCATCAATATTTCTAGGTTTGGTAGGTCTTCAAACCATCTTGGATCAATGATACTTAGACGATTGGCATTTAGATGGAGTCTCAAAAGCTTTCCTAAACCGGAGAAGGCACGGGGACCAATGAAATTGATCTGATTGTGGTTAATGTACAACTCTTCCAGATTTTCCAGATCTTTTAGACAGTAGTCTGGTAACTCCGTCAGTTGATTCTCCTCCAGATAAAGTGTGATCAGATGGGAAAGATTTGACACACTTAGATCCTCAATGCTTTGAAAGTGATTCTGAGACAAATCCAGTTCGGTCAGATTAGTTAATTCCTGGAGCTCACATCCCAAACGTGAGATCTTGTTACTTTGAAGCAGTAGAACCTGAGTGTCAATGGAAAGGTTCTCCGGGATATGGGTGAGCAGGAGGTCATTGCAGTCCACTGTTTTGGCTTCATGGTAGACAGATAGTGGTGTAAACCAAGGTCTTGTCTCACAGACACATTGAGGAGGGCAGAATCCATCGCTGTTGAAGAAGACTGATTGTAGAAGTATCAGAAGGAAACACAGCTTGGTCCACGGAAAAGCTGGATACATCCTCACACCCGAAAAATACTAGTTCTCAAGAAGGTAGAGAACCTGTCTCTGATTGAATGACCTGGAAAGAAAAGACATAATAAAATTGAGATCAAAGAATATGACAAGCACTCAGTCTGAAGATGAAATGGAGTAAAATTAATGCCAATATCCTGCAAATATATATTTTATAATATAATAACAGATTGACACAAAATATGATTAAAGGTTGAATTACTTATCTCAAGCATCGGATACAGACTGTTTACAGACCCTGGTGACGCGTTCACTAAATGTCAGAATTATTCCATCCTTAATGACCTAAATAGCATTACTTCTTGTGTGTAGCCGTCCAGTGCGCACCATGTGAATCCTGAATACACTGTCAGTTCTCTTCCTCGTTAATCCTAATATTTAGCCGTCCCTCTGAGAACCTGCTTTCATTTCCTTGCAATCCTGAGCCAATTTATTCACATTATTAGCTATTCAATCTACATGGCCGGTAATTACAATTTATTTTTTATTTTTTATTTAATAGAATGTTATAAGGATTCATGATTTCGAGATTATCTGCCCATCTTGTGATTTCATCCCCTCCTTATTCCTGCATCCTGTTACTCCACAGAACACCATATTTATTCTTAAAGATTAACCAAAACCTAATTTTTCCAGTTGAATAATTGTGTATCGACCCCTTCATCTCCTCCACGATTTAGCTCACCCCTTTATTGTCCTCCTTCTTATTCATTCCCCCCCTCCTTACCCTGCGGCCGTGAACTCGCAGTCGCCTGTCAGTGCTTTTTCCCAGAATTCCTTCGGCTCTGGCCAATCCCTGTTCCCCGGCTAAGTCTCCGACAGACTCACATGTTTCCATGGTAACACCCTGAGCACCTTCTCGTTCCCATACAGAGAGAGAGAAAAAAAGCCCATCTGATTAACCCTTTCCACACCACGGCTATTGGAAGGGGTCACCTCGGTGTCAGCCCCCTGACTCAATAATGAACATTGGCAATTAACACAAGCTTTAACCCTTTCATTACTGTTATCTATATGTTTTGCTCCAGTGACATTTCAGGATTAACACAGACCGAATCGAGGCGGTATTTATTGAAGCACAGCTGATAGATAATCACCCGTTTAAAGCATTGTATCCAGCGTATTATTACCCAGGACATACTGGAAAACGAGAGCAATCTCAATGGATCCATCCTGGTAAAATATTTTATAAATAAAATAAATAATTATTGAAAGGAAACCAATCCTCAGTCCGTCAGATGACGTCCAATGAATTCTACAATCACCCACATGACATTGGCATACGCTCAGTGTGTAACATCGTAATACTTGTATTGCATTGCGATTTATATTGTCTATCTCCAGCTAATAGAGGAATTCAGTTTCCCTGCCGGTTTGCCAGCCTTGCAATGTATCGTGGGAGTTGTAGTTGTATAATGGCTGAATTCTTGGCAGGCTGGAAGTTAGGAGAGGATCAATTGCGGGGGATTTGGAGACATTTAATATTGTGCTTAAAATGCACCTTTCAGAGCTGTAAAAGCTGTCCAGATCATATAAACAGCAAGTCCACGTGCACATTTTGGGGGGGATTGCAGCTGTTTTGGGGAATCTTTCCAGTTCAATTCATTTTAGCCTAAAATTTGCAATTAGCCGCTGAATTAGTGAATAAATTGTCTGAATTATTCAGTAAACAGCGAATTGTTTGTAATTCATAGTGTATACAACGTGTCTGTTTCGGCTGTTTAGCAGATAAAGCCCATTGCTTAGTTGGGTCCGTACACCCCGTACACTGTGTGATATCTCTGCCAACACTACGTAACTGCCAGGTAGAAAAAGGAATAATGTACATTTTATTATTAAGGAGGAACTCTGGGCACCGAAACAGCAAAACATGGAATTTGACTAATGTGGCTGTTAAACCATAATTCACCTCTTTCATATTTTGTGCACCCACAGTTATTATATAGCATTTTATTCAGGGGAAACAGGGCTGTCATTTAACATCCAATATTTAGCTATATTTTATTATGTAGAAAATCTAAAAAGTGTTAGAAATGTAGATATTGTTATTTTTTTAGTCTGCATGTCATTTTAACTGTGACTGTCATAATACTGTTAGATTTTACAGCAATAAAATACACGTTTGTGTTCAGCAAGGTCTCCTGAGTATAACAGTACCCCCCATGTACAGGTTTTATGGGGTTTTGTAAAGTTACAGGGTTAAATATAGTGCTTACAAATTAGGTCCCTCAAATTGTAATTCATACAATTACTGAATTATGTCAAAAGATTACATAAATATACATGTAGAACTGAAATATATATATGGACGACAAGTGCACTTACGGGTCTTTGTAACAGTATAATCTTTTTAGATACACCTCGGTTCGCTTCTCTTTTTGGACACAATAAAGAGATTACACTGTTACAAAGACCCGTGAGTGCACTTTTCATCTATACTATATTTTGCCTAAATTTTGCACCCAGGCATTTACAAGCCTAGGAAAACGAGTGCTGGACCCTCGAGGATATATAAATATAATTATTCTTAAATATTTTTATATATTTAGATATAGACACATATAATTAATTTCAATATAGGCATATCATAATATCTAATTATATGCATATATTAATATTAAAATACACTTCTAATGATCGTGTATGTGTGTGTACATATTTTTTATATATATATATATATATATATATATATATATAGTGTTCAAGCAGAGATTGTAGCCGTATTAGTCCAGTAATGTAGATGTAAAACGAATTTGTATCTTGTAATACCTTTTTTATTGGACTAACAGAATGTTTTAATGACAAGCTTTTGGGAAAACCACCCTTTCTCAAGTTTGACGTGCAAAAGGGAGGTTCTCCCGAAGGCTTGTCATTAAAAAATTCTGTTAGTCCAATAAAAAAGATATTACAAGATAAGTATTTTTTCAGTTTTTTACACACACACACACACACACACACACACACACATATATATATATATATATATATGTATGATCTAAGTAGGCTTATTTTATTTAAAACTTTTTTTAACTTTACAGGCGTTAGGAGGGCTGCCTGACAGCCCAGGCGGTCCCCCTGCAGTCACTGCTGCAGTCAGCTATTCCGGCCGTGTGATCGTGAGGACCCACGAGGGCCGGATCAGCCGCAGGGGGACTGCCTGGCAATCGCCGGATTAGTGGCGACAAGGTAAGTCCCCAGGACAGGCCCTTAAGGATGGCATAGAACGCCCGTTGTCCTTAAGGGGGACAGGCCCTTAAGGATGGCATAGAACGCCCGTTGTCCTTAAGGGGTTAATTTTAAAGAGACCTCATTCCTGTGTATTCTGTTCTTCCCTGAATGTGTTTGCTGCCCTCTGGTGGACAGGGTGAGTGTTTTATCAGCACCATGGACAGATCCTGCGAACTAGCTGCCCGTATTCTGGCTTTCACTACCTTACAGAGAAACGATATTTGTTATAACCATTCATATAACTGAAGTGGTTATAGTGCCTGGAGTCCCCTGGCGCTGTCCCTCCATTCAGCGTTAAACGATTCCATCTCATTGAAGTGGTTATAGTGCCTGGAGTCCCCTGGCGCTCTCCTTCCATTCAATGTTAAACCATTCCATCTCATTGAAGTGGTTAAAGTTTCTGGAGTCCCCTGGCGCTGCTCCTCCATTTAGTGTTAAACCATTCCATCTCAATGAAGTGATTATAGTGCCTGGAGTCCCCTGGCGCTGTCCCTCCATTCAGTGTTAAACCATTCCATCTCATTGAAGTGGTTATAGTGTCTGGAGTCCCCTGACGCTGTCCCTCAATTCAGTGTTAAACCATTCCATCTCATTGAAGTGGTTATAGTGCCTGGAGTCCCCTGGCGCTGTGTTTCCATTCAGTGTTAAACCATTCCATCTCAATGAAGTGATTATAGTGCCTGGAGTCCCCTGGCGCTGTGTTTCCATTCAGTGTTAAACCATTCCATCTCATTGAAATATTGGGACCTGTCAATTTGTTCAGTCACCCGGAGCCCCATGTGATGGTTTAAAAACCTGGCTGACTAAAGGGATATTACTGATAAAGAAGGAAGTGAGTGTGGTCCCCGGGACCACTGTGAAACCAGAAGGTAACTGCTTATGGTGTGAAGTCCAAATCGCAATGACTAGATCTGCATTGGTCACTGTACTAACCCAGGTAGACTTAGCTCACGTTACCCATAATTCCACATCATTGTGGCAGGATATTATTGAAAAGTAAATGGCCACACAGAATCCTCTGTATCAGCCCAGGCCGTGGGGAAGGTGGGTCTTGCCCTCTGTTATCTCAGTCCCCAATTAATGTGCCACCCATACAGTTACCCTTGGCCTGTGTCAGAGCAGTCAGGACTACGACTTCATCATTTAATATTCTGCCCAGTTTGGTGTCAATTCATTTTCCCTTCTGCTTTGCAAAGAAACGTGGTTTATAACAAAACTGAACGATTATCGTAATCCCAGTCAAACAGTCCGATTTGTTTTACTGAAGTGCAGAATTGTACATTTTTGTTTCCATTTTGATAATTTTAACTGGATCTTAGCTAATTCAGCATTTAGTGATTGACCCCCCGCAAAGCACGGCTCTCTCACATTGCTGTCACCATTATCTTTCTTAGAATGGCACTAATTAATCTCTCCCACACTTTATGACTCATTCCAGTCTCCATATTAATTAACTATTTCATGACTTTTCAGAGCGTGAATAATCTGCAGCGTTTCACATTAGCAGATCACCCACCATCGACGTGGTGCACAATGAAAATGACAGATTTATCATTCTTACCATTATCACTATCATTACTGTCATGCCCCCTATCACCATCATTACCATCACTATCACCACTGCCACCATTATTACTATCATGCCCTGTATCACCATCATTACCATCACGATCACCACTGCCACCATTATTACCATCATGCCCTGTATCACCATTATTACCATCACAATCACCACTGCCACCATTATCACTATCATGCTCTGTATCACCATCATTACCATCACTATCACCACTGCCACCATTATCACTATCATGCTCTGTATCACCATCATTACCATCACTATCACCACTGCCACCATTATCACTATCATGCCCCCATATCACCATCATTACCATCACTATCATGCCCCCTATCACCATCATTACCATCACTATCACCACTGCCACCATTATTACTATCATGCCCTTCATCATCATCATTATCACTATCATTATCCCCATTATCATTATCCTCACTGCCACCATTATCACTATCATGCCCTTCATCATCATTGTGACCACCATTATTACCACTATGACTATCATTATCCCCATAATCACTACTATCACCATTATTATTATTCGTATTATCCTCATTATCACTATAATTATCACTATAATTCCCACTATCCCCTGGACCCCAATAAGATATTTCAAGTTATTTCCAATGAAACAGCTGGTAGTGCTCGGATATTATTTATACTATCCGTATTACCCCTATATAGATCTCGAATGGCCACTCACATTAAACTCAGTTAAATTGTTAAATGAATTGATTTACACAAAAAGTAATGACGTAAAGGGTTACTCCAACTACACAAAAAGGGTTTTAATAAAACATGCATACTTTATCTATTATCTACTTTTTTCCTCGACACTGCCTAACTGACAGGTTGCTCATTTTTGGTCATAATGACCATGTGATTCCCCCCCTCTCTCCCCCCCGAATCATTGCAACAGCGTTATAGTACCGTTTAAGTGGGGTAACCGGTCTCCTAGACTCCCCTAGAGATATATCGCCCCTAGATCACACTACCCATACAGGGAGGCATATGTACCCTACAAACCATTTCTATATTATAACATGGGCAGTGAATGCAAGGTGCTCTCTGCCCAGAAGCCTGGTATGTAAAGAGCCAAAGCTCTTTACATACCAGGCTTTTGAGCTCTGTCACCCACTCCTCCAGGGGCTGCTCTCCCAAGAGACACATTCGCATCACCACACGTTTCTGTACCCGCTGCTCGTCACTGGGGAGTCTCTCGCCCCGCTGACGCTGTACATCCTCCAGGGCCTCATACCAAACTTCCTTCCCATCTGCATCCCTGTAGTCTGCGTCCTCCTCCTCCTCGTCATGGAACGCTGTCCGAAAACTAGCCGATTACATACTGCTGTAGACAAGGGTGCTGTACAGATACTGGCGTTGCCCTAAAAAAAATTACAAAATCCATACGGCTGTAGACAGGGGCGCTGTACGGATACTAGCATTGCCCTCAATTATAAATCCATACTGCTGTAGACAGGGGCGCTGTACGAATACTATAGCGCTGCTCTCAATTATAAATCCATACGATGTAAACAGGGGCGCTGTACGGATACTAGAGTTGCCCTCAATTTGTACAATCCAACGGGTGTCTCCAGGATGCTTCTATACTCACTAGGAAGTCATCCTACTGCTGCCACCAATGTGACGGACCGCCTTGCACCCCGACCAATTTGAGTTCCATGCACTCGACGACCAAACACCGCTGTATGCGTTCGTGGCTAAAAATGGCCACCACCACGTGTTTGGCCATACAAATGGCGGCCACCCAGCCAACCACTCAGAATGTTGAGATAATTGCAATTACTGAGGTGCGAACAAAGATGACAAGGGTCAATGAGCAGCACACGCCTCCATTGGGTGGTCGGGCTGTTTGGTAGTTTGTTTGGTATACGGTCATATACCGAACTATTTAGTGTATCAAATAAACAAAAATTAACAGGATGGTAATCCAGGGATAGGGAATCCATCACAGTACTTATTACAGACTTTGTCTAATAATGTGTTGCTATTACGGGGAAACTGACATGAAAGGTTGATATTTAGGGATGATTTTAAGTAGTAGGCTGACATTTTTTAGGTAAGTCTGAATGAAAGGTTGATATTTTGGTTCATGTTGAGTGGGAGGTTGATATTAGGGGGTGATGTTAAATGAAAGGTTGATGTTTGAGATCATGTGCAGTGGAATATATGGGGTGATCTTGAATGGAAGGCTGACATTCTCTAGTTGATACTGAATGGAAAGTTAATATTTGAGGTGATTCTGGTAACCTCCCCACTGGTTCTTGGAGGGGCCTGTTTGCCAGCCTCCTGCCTCAGGACTATGGGCCATGCAAAAAGGCTCATAAAAGAGCTTGTTTGTGCCTTTTTGCTATCCTGTTCGAGAACCGAACAGATGCACGAACCAGGGACCACCCGGGAGCTTGTTAACACCTATTAACACATTGGAACGGTTCTCACCGCAGTGTTCTAATTGTTCGTCAAGGGTGGCCGCAAATTCCTATGGACAACCACGAGGTGGTGGCCATCTTGTTCACATGAACGCAGGAAGCGGTGTTTAGGGATGAATCTCATGGAACTAAAATCGGACCCATAAACTCCCGAATACCGCTGGACTTCCATCATCGCCTGCATTCGGTTCTATACAATTTAGAAGGGCACTGTTCGGTGAAATCTTTCATCTGCATTTGGTGGAACAAGCTCCATGGTAAGAGCATTGACTATGTTTGGTAGTTTGTTCATTTTCCAAACTACCGAACAAGACCGACGGCAAGCCAAGATTCTCTGGAATTGTTTTGGGCATGGGACCATTCCTGCGTTCGGTCAAAAATAAGACTTCCAGGAAATTCCTGAACTGATCGGTTTGATTTTTGGATATGTTGGTCACCCAGATTAGGGCTATTGTGTGTTTTAAGGTATTTTGGGGGTTTTATAAAATTGTGTGTTTTTGTGTCTGGAGATAACTGAGTTAATACAGTACTTGATTCAATTATCTCCCAGGCAGAGGGGAACAATTCACACAATACAACAGGAAGTCAGCGCTAATTAACAGATAATATGCAAATGTGCAGCAACCCAAACGAAGGGATTATATGATTACGTATGGGAGTGTCATGTACTTGAACAACTGTCATTGGTCTGTAACTTTGTACTGTAGTCTTCCATCAAGTCCAGGTGGGAGTACCCCTTGAATGGGGACTTGCATATAAGGCCAGTTGTGGCTGCCATTAAACGAGTTCCTGCCTACCCTCAACATAGAGCCTCGTCTCATGTGTGGGGGAGAACGGCTGTATCTACCCTGGGGATTGCTATATCACAATACTCCCCTGGGTTATAATCACTTGCTCTTTTAAGAGCATATTGCTACACTCTTTTGGAGGAGAGCTCTACCCACTGGAAGCTGGATCCTGGTCATGGGTCCAGGGTGGGTGGAGGACAGCGAGATCCCAGCCAAGCTGTCATGCTGGAAACAGGGATTGCAGTGCTGATGGTGTCTGGTGGAGTGCTTGGACTACTCGTGAGCACTAGGACGCAGCGATTGGCGGATGCACCCGGTTGGGGTGCCAGGCAGTCTGTCACAGTGATATTGAAGGAAAAGTTGATATTCGGGGTGATAATAAATGAAAAGTTGATATTTGGGGCGATATTGAATGGAAAGTTGATATTTGGGGTGATTGTGAATTCAAGGTGGATGTTTGGCGTGATTGTGAATGGAAAGTTCATATCCAGGGTTATAATAAATGAAAAATTGATATTTGGGGTGATATTAAATGGACGGGGGGGGTGTTTGGGGTGATTGTTAATGGAAGGTTGATGTTTGGGGTGATTGTGAATGGAAGGCTGATATTTGGGGTGATTGTGAATGGAAGGCTGATATTTGGGGTGATTGTGAATGGAAGGCTGATATTTGGGGTGATTGTGAATGGAAGGTTGATGTTTGGGGTGATTGTGAATTCAAGGTTGATATTTGGGGTGATTGTGAATGGAAGGTTGATGTTTGGGGTGATTGTGAATGGAAGGTTGATATGTGGGGTGATATTGAATGGAAGGCTGATATTTGGAGTGATTGTGAATGGAAGGTTGATGTTTGGGGTCATGTTGAGTGAAAGGTTTGTGAATAAAGTAAGTACCTAAGTGACAGAAGAACTAACACCATGCAGACATAAACATGGGCAAGCAGACAGAGACTGACAGACTGTGATAGTTAGACAGAGACAGACAAACAGAGAAGGTCGGTCTAACAGACAGACACATAGAGACAGACAGACATAGAAAGACATGCCGTGACAGACATACATTATAGACAAACAGATAGAGTGACAGACTTTAGACAGGCAGGCAGAGACAGGCAGATGTACATTACATGGACTGGCAGGGATAGACAGAGATAGAGAGACAGAATTGCAATTACAGACAGACAGACTTTAGACAGATAGAAAGGAACAAAGAGAGACAGACATACATTGACAAGGTACGTCCAGCTTACTGTAATGATATCCAGCAGTGCTGCCTTCCTATGGTTTCTGTCTCGGACTTTCCCTGGCAGTATGTCTCTGTTTATCCCTCGGTGTGTCTCATTCTCTGCCTGTCGTTCCTCCTTCCTTTGTCTGCCGTTTTCGCAGCTCGATCCTGGGTTTTCCTCACTCTCCCTTCCTCATGTTGCTCACTGATGGATAAAAGGAGCTTCTTATCTGACAAGTGCTCCCCCCGGAGCCAATCAGAAGGCAGGCTGGCTGACAGTCTGACCAATCCCGAGATGGGGAAGGGACAGACGGGCAGCAGATTAGTGTAAAGATGCAGATATAGAAGATGAGCACACGGTGATATCACAGATATAGATCATACGTGTGCTCGATCACACCATCGCTACCACACGCTCCCACTGGGGGTTAACACTGTGTGTGCCACCATCGCTCCCACACGCTCCCACTGGGGGTTAACACTCTGTGTGCCACCATCGCTACCACACGCTCCCCCTGGGGGTTAACACTGTGTGCCACCATCAGCATCCCACACGCTCCCACTGGGGGTTAACACTCTGTGTGCCACCATCAGCATCCCACACGCTCCCACTGGGGGTTAACACTCTGTGTGCCACCATCAGCATCCCAAACGCTCCCACTGGGGGTTAACACTCTGTGTGCCACCATCAGCATCCCACTGGGGGTTAACACTCTGTGTGCCACCATCAGCATCGCACACGCTCCCACTGGGGGTTAACACTCTGTGTGCCACCATCAGCATCCCACACGCTCCCACTGGGGGTTAACACTCTGTGTGCCACCATCAGCATCGCACACGCTCCCACTGGGGGTTAACACTCTGTGTGCCACCATCAGCATCCCACACGTTTCCACTGGGGGTTATTCACTAAACAGAAAATTGTGGAGAATTCGGAAAGAAATCGCAGATTGGAAATAACCCCCTATATTTGTGGATTGCAAAATATATTACGTAAATACCGGGACCACCACCAGAGCCTGGACCGAGTTGAAATGTGTCAGGTGGCCCCTCCTCCAGCATCTCCTGGGCCCCTGGACCAGTGATCACATGATGTTTAGTTTGCAGCCAGCATGCTCCAGCTGTGTTTGTTACTCTGTATTACTCGCGGTATTACTCTGCATTGATGGATGGTTAGATAGATGGATGTTAGATGGGTCAGATGAATTATGGATGTCCGGGGGAGTGGATTGATAGTGGAGGGTTGATGGATGGTGGGTGAATGAATGGGTAGGTGGATGGATGGGATGGTGGATGGATGGATTGTATGGATAGTAGATGGGTGGATGGATAATGGCGGGGTGGATGGATTGATGGTGGGGGATTGTATGGATAGTGGATGGGTGGATGGATAATGGCAGGGTGGATGGATGGATTGATGGTGGGGGATTGTATGGATAGTGGATGGGTGGATGGATAATGGCGGGGTGGATGGATTGATGGTGGATGGATAATGGCAGGGTGGATGGATGGATTGTGGATGGATAATGGCAGGGTGGATAGATGAATTGATGTATGGATGGTGGGGGATTGGATGGATGGATGGATAATTGGGGGTTGGTTGGATGGATGGAATGGTGTATCCTATGTTTGAGATGGCTGTCAGCACACTTCCATTAGCAACCCATCCCCTTTCCCCCTCCTCTCTTAGAATATTAGTAATCAGATATCCGATGTTTGGTGCCGTCATTGTGTATTCCCTCATAATGCCCCCACCATGGAAGAAAGTCAATAGATATACTCATTTGTGAAATAGTTCAGCAAATAGTGCTTTAGCAGCAACATTTCTAGGATTTCCCAGCATTGGATGAATTCATCTGTCACCCATCCACAGCTGATATGATAACTGCAGATATCATCATTAGTTCCTCATGGAAGTGACCTGAGCCACCATATGATCTTGTGATAAAGCCAAGGACTGACTGGTCACTTTATACCAGTAATGGCTAACCTTGACACTATAAATTGTTTCTGGACTACATTTCCCATGATGCTCAGCTAGCTTTTAAAGTTTTAAAACTAGCTGAGCATCATGGAAAATGTAGTCCAGAAACAATTTATGGTGTTAATGATACTGCCGAATGTCCAAATAGCTGAATTGCCGAATTTCCAAAGTGCCGAAGTTCCAAAGCACAGAATTGCCCAAGTACTAATATACCCAGTGGAAGAATGTTACACTGTATACCAGTTTAAATAAAAAGTATACAAACATAGCCAGGATTCAGCTGTAAGCATTTGCAACACTTACAACAATCAAATAAACACATACATATAAAATGTAAGTTACTTAGCCTGTCAATGGATGGGAATGAGTAAGTAGATAACTCCATAATTCCCACGGTATTAGGGAGCTAGCTACCAAAAGGCTGGAAGACCTAAATTGGTCTTTCAGCCAAATTTACTAATAGCCTGTGTGTTACGCTACTTGGGTGATTTGGATTGGAACTCAACTGCAGCTTGTAAACTCCCTAATTACAATTGTGAAGAAATGGAGAATCTTTAAAGTATCAATACTGTAGCTTTAAGAAGAAAGAGAGAATCGCTGGTAACTTGGTTCAACCGACGTTTTAATACGTGTTAAACTTAAATGAATTGCATTTAGGCAATAATCCAACAAGAAGAAGTGCAAGTAATCAACAACACAAGGTTCATTAATAAGGATTTCCTTAGAGAGGCATTAAGTAACATTCTTTGGTTAATGAGAATAATCTTCAATAATAACTTTAAGCAAGTAGCTGAGAATATTTGCAATGCAGGAACAGTTCATAGTGAATAAGCATGATGGGAGTTGTCCTCCATATAATTAGTAGCTTGTAGCAATGAGTGTATTTGTAAGGCAAGAAACAGTTCATTATTAAATGATATTGTAGACAAATAGCTGAAAGATATACTTAAGGTTAATGTGAGTAGTCCTCCAATAGTTTAGGGATATGGTCCACTTATAAAGTAAGTGAGTTTCCGTTCTCCAGTAATCCTCTATGGCGTAAAGTATACTTGTCTTAGTCCAGAAGGTTAGGACAACTTAAGAGTTTGAAGAGCTGGCGTGCATATTCGGAAGTAGGACCCATATTGCCAGAGCCTGTGGAGAGGTAAGTCTGGCGGAAGTAGCTCCCAGTATCACCAAGCACCCTCTCTCTGGCACAGTCTCCCTAAATACCGTCAGAGCTGCGTCAGAGGGGGGCGGAGTGCCAAACCCAGAAATGTTACCGCATGACACTGTGGCTGCTCACTGTTAAACCCCCCCCGAGTGGGGACTTTGGAACTGAAGGAGGGACCTATTGTATCCCCCCCGGCCCCCACCCCTGAGCGGCAGGTGGGGGCCCTGGATGACAAAGGAGGGTACCTATCGTGTCCCCCCCGGCCCCCACCCCTGAGCAGCTGATGGGGGCCCTAAGGAAGAATAATATGACCTATTGTCCTTCCCCCTGGCCCCCACCTCTGAGTGGCGGGTGGGGACCCTAAATAAAAATGTAACCCTCCACGCTGTGTAATTTGACTCATAACAACACTATGATTGGTTGATTGAAAGCAACCGATCAGAGAGTTATTAGTCAAATTACACAGCATAGGGATATTCCAAAGAACTTTCCCACGCTGTGTAAAATGACACAGTATTTTTGCATTTTTAATTAATTTTTTTAATATATATATATATCTTTTAAATTGTTAATAAACTGGCATTTTTTTTTTATAAACATATCCAGTTTTTATTGCTTCAGTCTATAGCGATATATTGTTTTTATTGCCAAAGCTAACAGTTCTATATACTGTGTTGCTTAACATTTAGATACTTTTATCTTTGATAATACAAAGTATATCATTTGGAACAGGCATCATCTACCCACACTGCATTAGGGATCGAGATACCTGCTCTGTACATATTGGCTACATACCTATCCAGGAGCTCAATTTATTTTATTTATTTATTTTTAGTTTTCTTATCATATTTCATATTTATTTCTCATTCTTCATCTTTCCTTTTCCGTTTCATTTTAACCTTCTTCTTTTTTATCTATTTATTTTTTCCTCCTTTTATCTTTTACCTTACTTTATTCAATTCCCCTTTCTATCTATTTGTTTTTTTTATCCATGATCCCTTATTGCATTTAAAGGCACAACACATATATTTAGCATTTAAAGGCATAGTATGTATTAATTTGTCCAAATTTATTTCACCAATTTTATTCAGCTCTCTAACAATAAACCAACCAATCAGAGTGCTCTGAGCCTAATTGCAGGGTGGGGCAAGGCTTTATAAGCCTTTCCCATGCTCTGTGGAGCTCAGTGTGCGCGGTGCCCTCCATGGGTGAAGATGGATTATTTTTTCAGCGTCACAGGCTGCTCACTGTTTACTAGACATGCCCCTACTTGCGGTATAGCGAGTAGGGGCAGAATTTCCTAATATTAAGTAATCTTTACTTAGTATTAGTAAATTTGACTGAAAGACCAATTCAGGTCTTTCAGCCATTTGGTAGATAGCTCCCTAATACCGCGGGAATTAGGGAGTTATCCGAAGTCCCGAAGTGGACGAAGTTCTAAAGTGTCGAAGTGCCAAAGTACCGAAGTGTCAAAGTTCCGAATTACCGAAGTGTCGATGTTCCGAAGTGTCGAAGGGCCAAAGTCTCAAAAGTGCTGAAGTCCCGAATTTCGGAATGCAGAACTGAACCGAACATCTTCCCCATGCACATCCCTACCTTCCAGGATGAGTTACTTTTAACTATCCCCTGTGACAGACCTTCAAGTTGGTGGACTATTACATGGGCGTCCGCAGGGGGGGGCAAGGGGGGGCACTTGCCCCCCCCCTGGATTTTTCAGCTTGTTCTGCTATTTTTCGTGTGATTTAAAATGAACTGCAATGTGGCGCTGTGTATGGAGAGAGACAGGGATAGGAAGTTGCATCTTATCCCTGCTTCTCTCTGCTGATTGAAACCGCAGGGGAGCAACACATGCAGCCAGAGACAGCCTACAGATCAGGTAAGTGAGGATGGGGTGGGGGGGATTGAGATAGACTTTGGGGGTGGGGGGGCAGCAGCCTATAGACACCCAGGGGGGGCAGCAGCCTTTAGATTTGGGGGCAGCAGCCCATAGATTTGGGGGGGGGGCAGCAGCCCATAGATTAGGGAAGTGAGCAGATTAGTGAGCCTATTGCATTAGCGTGTGCACCCTAAATCACAAACACACGCCATGTGTATATG